TACAGAGTCTACTGTCTATAGTGTTAAATATAACCCTGCCTTGATACAGTCTATAGTGTTATATGTAACCCTGCCTTGTTACAGTCTATAGTGTTAAATGTAACCCTGCCTTGTTACAGTCTACAGTCTATAGTGTTAAATGTAACCCTGTCTTGTTACAGTCTATAGTGTTAAATGTAACCCTGTCTTGTTACAGTCTATAGTGTTAAATATAACCCTGCCTTGATACAGTCTATAGTGTTAAATGTAACCCTGCCTTGTTACAGTCTACTGTCTATAGTGTTAAATGTAACCCTGTCTTGTTACTGTCTATAGTGTTATATGTAACCCTGCCTTGTTACAGTCTACAGTCTATAGTGTTAAATGTAACCCTGTCTTGTTACAGTCTACTGTCTATAGTGTTAAATGTAACCCTGTCTTGTTACTGTCTATAGTGTTATATGTAACCCTGCCTTGTTACAGTCTACAGTCTATAGTGTTAAATGTAACCCTGTCTTGTTACAGTCTACTGTCTATAGTGTTAAATGTAACCCTGTCTTGATACAGTCTACTGTCTATAGTGTTATATGTAACCCTGCCTTGTTACAGTCTACAGTCTATAGTGTTAAATGTAACCCTGTCTTGTTACAGTCTACTGTCTATAGTGTTAAATGTAACCCTGTCTTGTTACTGTCTATAGTGTTATATGTAACCCTGCCTTGTTACAGTCTACAGTCTATAGTGTTAAATGTAACCCTGTCTTGTTACAGTCTACTGTCTATAGTGTTAAATGTAACCCTGTCTTGATACAGTCTACTGTCTATAGTGTTATATGTAACCCTGCCTTGTTACAGTCTACAGTCTATAGTGTTAAATGTAACCCTGTCTTGTTACAGTCTACTGTCTATAGTGTTAAATGTAACCCTGCCTTGTTACAGTCTACTGTCTATAGTGTTAAATGTAACCCTGTCTTGTTACAGTCTACTGTCTATAGTGTTAAATGTAACCCTGTCTTGATACAGTCTACTGTCTATAGTGTTAAATGTAACCCTGTCTTGTTACAGTCTATAGTGTTAAATGTAACCCTGTCTTGTTACAGTCTATAGTGTTAAATGTCCTGTTTCCATTGATCATCATTGAGATTTTTCTACAACTTGATTGGAGTTCTACAGTTGACAGTTGACAGTGCATGTCAGAGCAAAAACCAAGCCATGAGGTCGAAGGAGTTGTCCGTAGAGCTCCAAGACAGGATTGTGTCGAAGCACAGATCTGGGGAAGGGTACCAAAACATTTCTGCAGCATTGAAGGTCCCCAAGATCACAGTGGCCTCCATCATTCTTAAATGGAAGAAGTTTGGAACCACCAAGGCTCTTCCTAGAGCTGGCTGCCCGGCCAAACTGAGCAATCGGGGGAGAAGGGCCTTGGTCAGGGAGGTGACCAAGAAGCCGATGGTCATTCTGACAGAGCTCTAGAGTTCCTTCTTTGGAGATGGGAGAACCTTCCAGAAGGACAACCATCTCTGCAGCACTCCACCAATCAGGCCTTTATGGAAGAGTGGCCAGACGGAAGCCACTCCTCAGTAAAAGGCACATGACAGCCCGCTTGGAGTTTGCCAAAAGGCACCTAAAGGACTCTCAGACCATGAGAAACAAGATTCTCTGGTCTGATGAAACCAAGATTGAACTGTTTGGCCTGAATGCCAGGCGTCACGTCTGGAGGAAACCTGGCACCATCCCTACGGTGAAGCATGGTGGTGGCAGCATCATGCTGTGGGGATGTTTTTCAGTGGCAGGAACTGAGAGACTAGTCAGGATCGAGGGAAAGATGAATGGAGCAAAGTACAGTATGTGTAAGTACAGTATCCTACAGCATGTTACAGTATCCTACAGTATCCTACAGTACCCTACAGTATCCTACAGTATCCTACAGTACCCTACAGTATCCTACAGTATCCTACAGTATCCTACAGTATCCTACAGTACCCTACAGTATCCTACAGTATCCTACAGCATGTTACAGTATCCTACAGTATCCTACAGTACCCTACAGCATGTTACAGTATTATACAGTATAGTACAGTATCCTACAGTATTCTACAGTATCCTACAGTATAGTACAGTATAGTACAGTATAGTACAGTATCCTACAGTATGTGGTGGTACAGTATCCTACAGCATGTTACAGTATTCTACAGTACCCTACAGTATAGTACAGTATCCTACAGTATCCTACAGTATCCTACAGTACCCTACAGTACCCTACAGCATTTTACAGTATCCTACAGTATCCTACAGTATAGTACAGTACCCTACCATATCCTACAGTATAGTACAGTACCCTACAGTATCCTACAGTATCCTACAGTATAGTACAGTATCCTACAGTACCCTACAGTACCCTACAGCATGTTACAGTATCCTACAGGATCCTACTGTATCCTACAGTATCCTACAGTACCCTACAGCATGTTACAGTATCCTACAGTATCCTACAGTATCCTACAGTACCCTACAGCATGTTACAGTATCCTACAGTATCCTACAGTATAGTACAGTACCCTACAGTATCCTACAGTATCCTACAGTATAGTACAGTATCCTACAGTACCCTACAGTATAGTACAGTACCCTACAGTACCCTACAGCATGTTACAGTATCCTACAGTATCCTACTGTATCCTACAGTATCCTACAGTATCCTACAGTACCCTACAGCATGTTACAGTATCCTACAGTATCCTACAGTATAGTACAGTATAGTACAGTATCCTACAGTATCCTACATTATCCTACAGTACCCTACAGTACGTTACAGTATCCTACAGTATCCTCCATACCCTACAGCATGTTACAGTATTCTACAGTATCCTACAGTATCCTACAGTACCCTACAGTACCCTACAGCATGTTACAGTATCCTACAGTATCCTACAGTATCCTACGGTATCCTACAGTACCCTACAGTACCCTACAGTACCCTACAGCATGTTACAGTACCCTACAGTATCCTACAGTACCCTACAGCATGTTACAGTATCCTACAGTATCCTACGGTATCCTACAGTACCCTACAGTACCCCACAGCATGTTACAGTATCCTACAGTATCCTCCATACCCTACAGCATGTTACAGTATCCTACAGTATCCTACGGTATCCTACAGTACCCTACAGTACCCTACAGCATGTTACAGTATCCTACAGTATCCTACGGTATCCTACAGTACCCTACAGTACCCCACAGCATGTTACAGTATCCTACAGTATCCTCCATACCCTACAGCATGTTACAGTATCCTACAGTATCCTACGGTATCCTACAGTATCCTACAGTACCCTACAGCATGGTACAGTACTCTACAGTACCCTACAGTATCCAACAGTATAGTACAGTACCGGTACCCCCTGTATATAGCCTCCCTACTGTTATTTTATTTTACTGCTGCTTTTTAATTATTTGTTTTATTTATTTTTTACTTAACACTTTTTTTCTTTTCTTAAAACTGCATTGTTGGTTAAGGGCTTGTAAGTAAGCATTTCACTGTAAGGTCTACACCTGTTGTATTCGGCGCATGTGGCAAATAAAATTGGATTTGATTTGATTTATAGTACATTGTACTACAGTATGTTGAAGTATCCTACAATATGGTACAGTTTACAACAGTATGTTACAGTATCCTACAGTATGTTACAGTATCCTACAGTATCCTACTGTATCCTACAGTATGTTACAGTATCCTACAGTATAGTACAGTATCCTACAGTATAGTACAGTATTCTACAGTATAGTACAGTATTCTACAGTATAGTACAGTATCCTACAGTATCCTACAGTATAGTACAATATCCTACAGTAATGTAAAGTATTCAACAGTATAGTACAGCATCATATAATATAGTACAGTATTCTACAGTATGTTGTTTTACATCCATCGGATGCAGTGATCACAATATAGTAGCCATATCTAGGAAAACCAAAGTTCCAAAGGCTGGGCCTAATATAGTGTATAAGAGGTCATACAATACGTTTTGTAGTGATTCCTATGTTGTTGATGTAAATAATATTTGTTGGTCCGTGGTGTGTAATGAGGAGCAACCAGACTCTGCATTTGACACATTTATGAAATTGCTTCTTCCAGTTACTAATAAGCATGCACCCATTAAGAAAATGACTGTAAAAACTGTTAAATCCCTGTTGATTGATGAGGAATTGAAAAATTCCTGGCTGCACAACCGATTGGCAAACATATTGCAGATTGAGAAATCATGTGACTGAACTGAATAAAAATAAGAAGAAACTACACCATGAAACAAAGATAAATGACATAAAGAATGATAGTAAAAAGGTTTGGAGCACCTTAAATTACATTTTGGGCAAAAAGGCAAACTCAGCTCTATCATTCATTGAATCAGATGGCTCATTCATCACAAAACCCACTGATACTGCCAATTACTTTACTGATTTTTTCATTGGCAAGATTAGCAAACTTAGGCATGACATGCCAGCAACAAACGCTGACACTACACATCCAAGTGTAACTGATCAAATTATGAAAGACAAGCATTGTAATTTAGAATTGCGTAAAGTGAGTGTGGAAGTGTTTTTGTTTTGTTTGTTATTTATCAACAATGACAAGCCACCTGGGTCTGACAACTTGGATGGAAAATTACTGAGGATAATAGCGGACGATATTGCCACTCCTATTTCCCATATCTTCAATTTAAGCCTACTAGAAAGTGTGTGCCCTGGAGGGAAGCAAAAGTCATTCCGTTACCCAAGAATAGTAAAGCCCCCTTTACTGGCTCAAATAGCCAACCAATCAGCCTGTTACCAACCCTTAGTAATCTTTTGGAAAAAAGATTGTGCAACCTAACTTAGTTGTTGAAAGGCATGGTGCAACCAAACATAGCTGTTGAGAGACATGGTTGAAATTGGGGGAGGTACTATGTCAACTTGTCCAATAAGAAACGCCTGCTTTCTTTTCCGTTGCAAAACGTTTTTCTATGACGTGAACTAATGAATATGTCTGGTAAACGTGTTAGGTGCTGCTGCTTTGAAAGTGGTGTGCCACACCAGAATGAAAAGTGCTTGGGCAAATGCTGTCTCGCCACTCGTTTCCAAGGCGGCTCTGCTTATCAGGTATAGTTCACTTATTTTATATCATTCAAATATCCAATTAATGGTGGCCAATACTGAGCGATATCGTGAGGCTACCCTCACGTATCTGAAATTACATAATCAATTGATGTTTACTGATCATGAAAAGCATGCAGTTACTTGCTGTATAACTCTGACGAAAGAGCTAAATGTGCGCAATTGTTTTGCACGGAATAATAGAACATGTAGTTCTGACTATGCTCTTCAAGAGGTGCTGATATTAAAACAAATAGTTATAATTTATTTAACAATCCCTTGAAAACGGCACACAGTTGGTTTTAGCGGAGCTACCCCTCAGCATCCAAAGAGCACGCTCTGCACCCCATTGTGGCATTTTATTGATAACTACCTCTACAGTACACCTGTAAAAGGCTCTGGAGGTTTCAGAGAGGAGCCCATATTTCAATGGAACGAATGGAGTGAACCAACTCGATGCACCCTGCCTGTTGTAACAGCACATATCCATTCCTCTCCTCCTCTCCTCTCCTCTCCTCTCCTCTCCTCTCCTCTCCTCTCCTCTCCTCTCCTCTCCTCTCCTCTCCTCTCCTCTCCTCTCCTCTCCTCTCCTCTCCTCTCCTCTCCTCTCCTCTCCTCTCCTCTCTCTTGCTCATCCATATAACAGTCTCTTTATCACCCAGCAGGTTTCCTTGGATTCTAACTCCTCCATGAACTCCAACACGCCATTGGTCAGGATCGCCCGCCTGTCATCCAGCGATGGACCAATGCTTGCCAACGTCTCCGAGCTGGAGCTGCCCTCAGATCCCAAATGGGAATTCTCTAGGACGAGGTGAGACAGAGGAATACCTTAACATACCTTAGACCAGGTGAGACAGAGGAATACCTTAACATACCTTAGACCAGGTGAGACAGAGGAATACCTTAACATACCTTAGACCAGGTGAGACAGAGGAATACCTTAACATACCTTAGACCAGGTGAGACAGAGGAATACCTTAACATACCTTAGACCAGGTGAGACAGAGGAATACCTTAACATACCTTAGACCAGGTGAGACAGAGGAATACCTTAACATACCTTAGACCAGGTGAGACAGAGGAATACCTTAACATACCTTAGACCAGGTGAGACAGAGGAATACCTTAACATACCTTAGACCAAGTGAGACAGAGGAATACCTTAACATACCTTAGACCAGGTGAGACAGAGGAATACCTTAACATACCTTAGACCAGGTGAGACAGAGGAATACCTTAACATACCTTAGACCAGGTGAGACAGAGGAATACCTTAACATACCTTAGACCAGGTGAGACAGAGGGAGACATCTTGGAGCGATACTGTTAACATGAATACGTAAGCTAACACTGTAGTATTCACTATCAGTGCTGTCTGTTAAAAAAAGACAGAGCTGGGTGGCTTCAGGCATGTTGTTTAAATGTTGCAGGAATGACCAGATAACATTTTGGATCATTTTCTTGGACCTCCCAGATAAACACAATGTGTACCTTCAGATAATATTGTCCCAGATCAGATTAAAACATTGATCTGGTAGTTTTTTATCCTTTAACGTGTGTCATTGTTGTTGTTTCAGCATACATGGTTGTGGTTGTGTTGCAGGCTAACTGGTTGTGGTTGTGTTGCAGGCTAACTGGTTGTGGTTGTGTTGCAGGCTAACTGGTTGTGGTTGTGTTTCAGACTAACTGGTTGTGGTTGTGTTGCAGGCTAACTGGTTGTGGTTGTGTTTCAGACTAACTGGTTGTGGTTGTGTTGCAGGCTAACTGGTTGTAGTTCTATTTCAGGCGAACTTTTTGGGATTGTCTTTCAGACTAACATTGGGTAAACCTCTGGGAGAAGGCTGCTTCGGTCAGGTGGTGATGGCGGAGGCCATCGGGATCAACAAGGAGAAACCCAACAAACCACTCGACGTTGCTGTGAAGATGCTGAAAGGTTAGTGTTAGTACAAGACCACTGTTCATACCTCCCAGTCCAGAATACTGTTACCTTTCAAACCACCTCCCAGTCCAGAATATTGTTACCTTTCAAACCCCCTCCCAGTCCAGAATACTGTTACCTTTCAAACCCCCTCCCAGTCCAGAATACTGTTACCTTTCAAACCCCCTCCCAGTCCAGAATACTGTTACCTTTCAAACCCCCTCCCAGTCCAGAATATTGTTACCTTTCAAACCCCCTCCCAGTCCAGAATACTGTTACCTTTCAAACCCCCTCCCAGTCCAGAATACTGTTACCTTTCAAACCCCCTCCCAGTCCAGAATACTGTTACCTATCAAACTCCCCTCCCAGTCCACAAAACTGTTAACTTTCAAACCCCCCTATCTTTGACTGTCCATTCTCCTCTGAGAGTGAGAATGGCGCCGGAGAAGATGGCTGCCGTTTTACAGCCCTCTAACCAATTGTACTATTATGTGTGTTTTTTCTCGTTATTTGTAATTTATTCTGTACATAATGTTTCTGCCACCGTCTCTTATGACCAAAAAGAGCTTCTGGATATCAGGACAGCGATTACTCACCTCGTATTGGACGAATACTTTTTCTTCAACAAGTCGGACGTGAAGGATATTCTACAGACACCTGACAAGGCCCAAATCCCCGTCATTCGCATGAGAAAGAGACAGAGATATCGTGGACGTAGGTCGGGGTGCCTTGGAGGATCCGACGGCGAGCGAGTAAACTGCCTCTCCCATCAATCCTATTAGCCAATCTTCAATCATTAGAAAATAAATTGTACGACCTAAGATTATGGTTATCCTACCAACGGGACATTGAAAACTGTAATATCTTAAGTTTCACCGAGTCGTGTCTGAACGACGACATGGAACAACATACAGCTAGCGGGCTATACGCTTCATCAGCAGGATAGAACGGCTGACTCTGGTAAGACAAGGGGTGGCGGTCTGTGTATATTTGTAAACAACAGCTGGTGCATAAAATCAAATACTAAGGAAGTCTTGAGGTTTTGCTCGCCTGAGGTAGATTATCTCATGATAAGCTGTAGACCACACGATTTACCAAGTGAGTTTTCATCTATATTTTTCGTAGCTGTCGATTTACCACCACAAACAATGCTGGCACTAAGATTGCACTCAATGAACTGTATAAGGCCATAAGTAACAGGAAAACGCTCATCCAGAGGCAGCGCTCCTAGTGGCCGGGGACTTTAATGTAGGGAAACTTAAATCCGTTCTACCTCATTTCTACAAGCATGTTAAATGTGCAACCAGAGGAAAATAAACTCTAGACCACCTTTACTCCACACACAGAGACGCGTACAAACCTCTCCCTCGCCCTCCATTTGGCAAATCTGACCATAACTCTATCCTCCTAATTCCTGTTTATAAGCAAAAACTAAAGCAGGAAGCACCAGTAACTCGGTTAATAAGGAAGTGGTCAGATGACGCAAATGCTAAGCTACAGGACTGTTTTGCTAGCACAGACTGGAATATGTTCCGGGATTCTTCCGATAGCATTGAGGAGTACACCACATCAGTCACTGGCTTCATCAATAAGTGCATTGATGACGTCGTCCCCACAGTGACCGTACATACATACCCCAACCAGAAGCCATGGATTACAGGCAACATCCGCACTGAGCTAAAGGGGAGAGCTGCCACTTTCAAGGAGCGGGACTCTAACCCGGACGCTTATAAGAAATCCCGCTATGCCCTCCGACGAACCATCAAACAGGCAAAGAGTCAATACAGGACTAAGACTGAATCGTACTACACCGGCTCTGATGCTCGTCGGATGTGGCAGGGCTTGAAAACTATTACAGACTACAAAGGGAAGCACAGCCGCGAGCTGCCCAGTGACACAAGCCTACCAGACGAGCTAAATCACTTCTATGCTCGCTTCGAGGCAAGCAACACTGAAGCATGCATGAGAGCATCAGCTGTTCCGGATGACTATGTGATCACGCTCTCCGTAGCCGATGTGAGTAAGACTTTTAAGCAGGTCAACATTCACAAGGCCGCAGGGCCAGACGGATTACCAGGACATGTACTCCAAGCATGCGCTGACCAACTGGCAAGTGTCTTCATTGACATTTTCAACATGTCGCTGACTGAGACTGTAATACCAACAAGTTTCAAGCAGACCACCATAGTCCCTTTGCCCAAGAACACTAAGATAATAATAATAATAATATGCCATTTAGCAGACGCTTTTATCCAAAGCGACTTACAGTCATGTGTGCATAGATTTTTACATATGGGTGGTCCCGGGGATCGAACCCACGACCCTGGCGTTACAAGCGCCATGCTCTACCAATTGAGCTACAGAGGGCCACATTTAGATAACCTGCCTAAATGACTACCGACCCGTAGCACTCACGTCTGTAGCCATGAAGTGCTTTGAAAGGCTGGTCACGGATCACATCAACACCATTATCCCAGAAACCCTAGACCCACTCCAATTTGCATACCGCCCCAACAGATCCACAGATGATGCAATCTCTATTGCACTCCACACTGCCCTTTTCCACCTGGACAAGAGGAACACCTAAGGTGGGGAGAACAAATATTTGATACACTGCCAATTTTGCAGGTTTTCCTAGTTACAAAGCATGCAGAGGTCTGTAATTTTTATCATAGGTACACTTCAACTGTGAGAGACGGAATCTAAAACAAAAATCCAGAAAATCACATTGTATGATTTTAGTAATTAATTTGCATTTTATTGCATGACATAAGTATTTGATCACCTACCAACCAGTAAGAATTCCGGCTCTCACAGACCTGTTAGTTTTTCTTTAAGAAGCCCTCCTGTTCTCCACTCATTACCTGTATTAACTGCTCCTGTTTGAACTCGTTACCTGTATAAAAGACACCTGTCCACACACTCAATCAAACAGACTCCAACCTCTCCACAATGGCCAAGACCAGAGAGCTGTGTAAGGACATCAGGGATAAAATTGTAGACCTGCACAAGGCTGGGATGGGCTACAGGACAATAGGCAAGCAGCTTGGTGAGAAGGCAACAACTGTTGGTGCAATTATTAGAAAATGGAAGAAGTTCAAGATGACGGTCAATCACCCTCGGTCTGGGGCTCCATGCAAGATCTCACCTCGTGGGGCATCAATGATCATGAGGAAGGTGAGGGATCAGCCCAGAACTACATGGCAGGACCTGGTCAATGACCTGAAGAGTGCTGGGACCACAGTCTCAAAGAAAACCATTAGTAACACACTACGCCGTCATGGATTAAAATCCTGCAGCGCACGCAAGGTCCCCCTGCTCAAGCCAGAGCATGTCCAGGCCCGTCTGAAGTTTGCCAATGACCATCTGGATGATCCAGAGGAGGAATGGGAGAAGGTCATGTGGTCTGATGAGACAAAAATAGAGCTTTTTGGTCTAAACTCCACTCGCCGTGTTTGGAGGAATAAGAAGGATGAGTACAACCCCAAGAACACCATCCCAACCGTGAAGCATGGAGGTGGAAACATCATTCTTTGGGGATGCTTTTCTACAAAGGGGACAGGACAACTGCACCGTATTGAGGGGAGGATGGATGGGGCCATGTATCGCGAGATCTTGGCCAACAACCTCCTTCCCTCAGTAAAAGCATTGAAGATGGGTCGTGGCTGGGTCTTCCAGCATGACAACGACCCGAAACACACAGCCAGGGCAACTAAGGAGTGGCTCCGTAAGAAGCATCTCAAGGTCCTGGAGTGGCCTAGCCCACTCCAGGATAGACCCAATAGAAAATCTTTGGAGGGAGCTGAAAGTCCGTATTGCCCAGCGACAGCCCCGAAACCTGAAGGATCTGGAGAAGGTCTGTATGGAGGAGTGGGCCAAAATCCCTGCTGCAGTGTGTGCAAACCTGGTCAAGACCTACAGGAAACGTATGATCTCTGTAATTGAAAACAAAGGTTTCTGTACCAAATATTAAGTTCTGCTTTTCTGATGTATCAAATACTTATGTCATGCAATAAAATGTAAATTAATTACTTAAAAATCATACAATGGGATTTTCTGGATTTTTATTTTAGATTCCATCTCTCACAGTTGAAGTGTACCTTTGATAAAAATTACAGACCTCTACATGCTTTGTAAGTAGGAAAACCTGCAAAATCGGCAGTGTATCAAATACTTGTTCTCCCCTCAGCGTTCAACACCATAGTGCCTTGAAAGCGCATCACTAAGCTAAGGACCCTGGGACTATACACCTCCCTCTGCAACTGGATCCTGGACTTCCTGACGGGCCGCCTCCAGGTGGAAAGATTAGGTAACAACACATCTGCCACGCTGATCCTCAACACGGGGGCCCCTCAGGGGTGCTTGCTCAGTCCCCTCCTTTACTCCCTGTTCACCCATGACTGCATGGCCAGGCACGACTCCAACACCATCATTAAGTTTGCTTACGACATAGCAGTGGTAGGCCTGATCACTGACAACGATGAGACAGCCTATAGGGAGGAGGTCAGAGACCTGGCCGTGTGGTGCCAGGATAACAACCTCTCCCTCAACGTGATCAAGACAAAGGAGATGATTGTGGACTACAGGAAAGAAAAGAGGACTGAGCACGCCCCCATTCTCATCGACAGGGCTGTAGTGGAACAGGTTGAGAGCTTCAAGTTCCTTGGTGTCCACATCACCTACAAACTATCATTGTCCAAACACACAAAGTCAGTCGTGAAGAGGGCACGACAAAGCCTATTCCCCCTCAGGTGACTGAAAAGATTTGGCATGGGTCCTCAGATCCTCAAAAAGTTATACAGCTGCACCATCGAGAGCATCCTGACTGGTTGCATCACTGCATGGTATGGCAACTGCTTGGCCTCCGACCGCAAGGCACTACAGAGGGTAGTGAGTACGGCCCAGTACTCCAGCCACCCTAGTTCTCTCTGCTACGTCTAGGTCCAAAAGGCTTCTTAACAGCTTCTACCCCCAAGCCATAACTCCTGAACAGCTAATCATGGCTACCTGGACTATATGCATTGCCCCCCCCCCCACCCCACCCCAACCCAAACCCCTCTTTGACTCTTTTACTCTATTATTCATGTATAATCACTTTAACGCTCACCCACATGTACATATTACCTCAATTACTTCGACTAACCGGTGCCCCCGCACATTGACTCTGTACCGGTACCCCCTGTATATAGCCTCCATACTGTTATTTTATATTACTTAAATTATTTGCTATTTTTTATTTTTTACTTATCTATTTTTTACTTAACAATTCTTTGTCTTTTCTTAAAAACTGCATTGTTGGTTAAGGGGTTGTAAGTAAGCATTTCACTGAAAGGTCTACACCTGTTGTATTCGGCGCATGTGGCAAATAAAATTTGATTTGATTTGAGTATCTCTGACTGTCCATTCTCCTCTGAGAGTGACTGACTATCTCTGACTGTCCATTCTCCTCTGAGAGTGACTGACTATCTCTGACTGTCCATTCTCCTCTGAGAGTGACTGACTATCTCTGACTGTCCATTCTCCTCTGAGAGTGACTGACTATCTCTGACTGTCCATTCTCCTCTGAGAGTGACTGACTATCTCTGACTGTCCATTCTCCTCTGAGAGTGACTGACTATCTCTGACTGTCCATTCTCCTCTGAGAGTGACTGACTATCTCTGACTGTCCATTCTCCTCTGAGAGTGACTGGGCTATCTCTGACTGTCCATTCTCCTCTGAGAGTGACTGACTATCTCTGATGTCCGTTCTCCTCTGAGAGTGACTGACTATCTCTGACTGTCCCATTCTCCTCTGAGAGGGGACTGACTATCTCTGACTGTCCCATTCTCCTCTGAGAGGGGACTAGACTATCTCTGACTGTCCATTTCCTCTGAGAGTGACTGACTATCTCTGACTGTCCGTTCTCCTCTGAGAGTGACTGACTATCTCTGACTGTCCATTCTCCTCTGAGAGTGACTGACTATCTCTGATGTCCATTCTCCTCTGAGAGTGACTGACTTATCTCTGACTGTCCATTCTCCTCTGAGAGTGACTGAATCTCTGACTGTCCATTCTCCTCTGAGAGTGACTGAGTATCTCTGACTGTCCGTTCTCCTCTGACAGTGAACTGACTATCTTGACTGTCCATTCTCCTCTGAGAGTGACTGACTATCTCTGACTGTCCCATTCTCCTCTGAGAGTGGGCTGGACTATCTCTGACTGTCCATTCTCCTCTGAGAGTGACTGACTATCTCTGACTGTCCATTCTCCTCTGAGAGTGACTGACTATCTCTGACTGTCCGTTCTCCTCTGAGAGTGACTGACTATCTCTGACTGTCCGTTCTCCTCTGACAGTGACTGACTATCTCTGACTGTCCGTTCTCCTCTGAGAGTGACTGACTATCTCTGACTGTCCATTTCTCCTCTGAGAGTGACTGACTATCTTGACTGTCCGTTCTCCTCTGAGAGTGACTGATATCTCTGACTGTCCGTTCTCCTCTGACAGTGACTGACTATCTCTGATGTCCGTTCTCCTCTGAGAGTGACTGACTATCTCTGACTGTCCATTCTCCTTGAGAGTGACTGACTATCTCTGACTGTCCATTCTCCTATGAGAGTGACTGACTATCTCTGACTGTCCATTCTCCTCTGAGAGTGACTGACTATCTCTGACTGTCCATTCTCCTCTGAGATAGTATCCTCTCACTATCTCCTCTGTAAATACATTTAGGAAATGTCAATCTGACCTTGAATCTAATGTTTACTTCTCTCTCTATCTCTTCTACTCTCCTCCTCCTCTCGGCTCTCTCTCTCTCTCTCTCTCTCTCCCTCGTCTCTCACTAGCATATCCCGCTCGCTCTCTCTCTATCTCTCGCTCTCAGCTACGCTCTCTACTCTCTCTCTCTCTCTTCTCGCTCTCTCTCTCTCTCTCCGTTCTCTTCTTCCTCACCTCTCTCCATCAGACGACGCTACAGATAAGGACCTGTCAGACCTGGTCTCAGAGATGGAGATGATGAAGATGATTGGAAAACACAAAAACATCCTCAACCTGCTGGGAGCATGTACACAGGATGGTAAGTTACAACACGTAGAAGGTATACCACTACTACTATACTACTACTATACTATACCACTACTCATTTACTAACCATCAATACACAACTCATCAGAACCTCTCACTAGAATCCATACAAAGAGGGAATTATACCTTTACAGAGAGAGAGAGAGAGAGAGAGAGGAGAGAGAGAGGAGAGGGAGAGGAGAGGAGAGAGAGGAGGAGAGAGGAGAGGAGGAGAGAGAGGGAGAGAGAGAGGAGGGAGGAGGAGGAGAGAGAGAGAGATTTACTGAATGACTATGTACCCTCCCAGATCCCCTGTATGTGCTGGTAGAGTATGCTTCTAAAAGGAACCTGAGGATTGGGGTTAGAGTTAACAGGGTTAGGGTTAATATGGTTAACAGTATATACACTCACCGGCCAGTTTATTAGGTACACCCATCTAAACTCAGCAATAATAGAAACGTCCCTTTTTCAGGACCCTGTCTTTCAAAGATAATTTGTAAAAATCAAAATAACTTCACAGATCTTCATTCTAAAGGGTTTAAACACTGTTTCCAATGCTTGTTCAATGAACCATAAACAATTAATGAACATGCACCTGTGGAACTGTCGTTAAGACACTAACAGCTTACAGACGGTAGGCAATTAAGGTCACAGTTATGAAAACTTAGGACACTAAAGAGGCCTTTCTACTGACTCTGAAAACACCAGGCTGAGAGAGGCTGGACTGAGGGCTTGTAGGCCTCACCATACATCACCGGCAACAACTATGGGCACAAACCCACCGTCGCTGGACCAGACAGGACTGGCAAAAAGTGCTCTTCACTGACGAGTCGCGGTTTTCTCTCACCATGGGGTGATGGTCGGATTCGCGTTTATCGTCGAAGGAATGAACGTTACACCGAGGCCTGTACTCTGGAGCGGGATCGATTTGGAGGTGGAGGGTCCGTCATGGTCTGGGGCGGTGTGTCACAGCATCATCAGACTGAGCTTGTTGTCATTTCAGGCAATCTCAACGCTGTGCGTTACAGGGAAGACATCCTCCTCCCTCATGTGGTACCCTTCCTGCAGGCTCATCCTGACATGACCCACCAGCATGACAATGCCACCAGCCATACTGCTCATTCTGTGCGTGATTTCCTGCAAGACAGGAATGTCAGTGTTCTGCCATGGCCAGCGAAGAGTCCGGATCTCAATCCCAAGAGGGTGAGGGCTAGGGCCATTCCCCACAGAAATGTCTGGGAACTTGCAGGTGCCTTGGTGGAAGAGTGGGATAACATCTCACAGCATGAACTGGCAAATCTGGTGCAGTCCATGAGGAGGAGATGCACTGCAGTACTTAATGCAGCTGGTGGCCACACCAGATACTGACTGTTACTTTTGATTTTGACCCACCCCCCTTTGTTCAGGGACACATTATTCAATTTCTGTTAGTCACATGTCTGTGGAACCTGTTCAGTTTATGTCTCAGTTGTTGAATCTTGTTATGTTCATACAAATATTTACACATGTTAAGTTTGCTGAAAATAAACGCAGTTGACAGTGAGAGGACGTTTCTTTTTTTGCTGAGTTTAGTACCGGGTCGGACCCCTTTTGCCTCCAGAACAGCCTGAATTCTTCGGGGAAATGATTCTACAAGGTGTCAGAAACGTTTGTTGCTCAATTGGTATCAATGGACCTAACGTGTGCATTCCCCACACCAGTACACCACCGCCACCAGCCTGTACCGTTGACACCAGGCAGGATGGGACCATGGACTTCACCAATCGATCAGCTTTAATATTGTGGCTTCCATCAATGTAATTGTCTGCATCAATTCCAATCCCCCATATATTTTGGGGGTAAATATATAAAATATATACAGTACCAGTCAAAAGTTTTAGAACACCTACTTATTCTTATTGTAGAATTCTTATTCTACATTGTAGAGAATTCTTATTCTACATTGTAGAATAATAGTGAATACATCAAAACTATGAAATAACACATATGGAGTCCAACAAAGTGTTAAACAAATCAAAATATATTTTAGATTTTAGATTCTTCAAAGTAGCCACCCTTTGCCTTGATGACAGCTTTGCACACTCTTGGCATTCTCTCAACCAGCTTCATGAGGAATGCTTTTCCAACAGTCTTGAAGTTTCCAACTATGCTGAGCACTTGTTGGCTGCTTTCCCTTCACTCTGCGGTCCAACTCATCCCAAACCATCTCAATTGGGTTGAGGTCGGGTGATTGTGGAGGCCAGGTCATCTGATGCAGCACTCTATCACTCTCCTTCTTGGTCAAATAGCCCTTACACAGCCTGGAGGTGTGTTTTGGGTCATTGTCCTGTTGAAAAACAAATGACAGTCCCACTAAGCGCAAACCAGATGGGATGGCTTATCGCTGCAGAATGACAAAGCGAAAACAAGTTTTTCGAAATGTTTGCTCACATAAAAAATACCTTCTATACATCACTATTCAGACCCTTTGTTATAAGACTCAAAATTGAGCTCAGGTGTATCCTGTTTCCATTGATCATCCTTAAGATGTGTCTCCTCCTTGATTGGGGTCCACCTGTGGTAAATTATATTGATTGGACATGATTTGGAAAGGCACACACCTGTCTATATAAGATGGGGCGGCAGGTAGCTTAGTGGTTAAGAGCGTTGTGCCAGTAACCGAAAGATCGCTGGTTCTAATCCCCGAGCTGACTAGGTGAAAAACCTGTCGATGTGCCCTTGAGCAAGGCACTTAACACTAATTGCTCCTGTAAGTCGCTCTGGATAAGAGCGTCTGCTAAATGACCAATTTATTTATCCCACAGTTGACAGTGAATGTCAGAGCAAAAACCAAGCCATGAGGTCGAAGGAATTGTCCGTAGAGCTCCGAGACAGGATTGTGTCGAGGCACAGATCTGGGGAAGGGTACCAAAACATTTCTGCAGAATTGAAGGTCCCTAAGAACACAGTGGCCTCCACCATCCTTAAATGGAAGAAGTTGGGAACCACCATGACTTTTCCAAACTGAGCAATCGGGGGAGAAGGGCCTTGGTCAGGGAAGTGACCAAGAACCCAGTGGGTTCTAGAGCTCCAGAGTTCCTCTGTGGAGATAGGAGAACCTTCCAGAAGGACAACCATCTCTGCAGCACTCCACCAATCAGGCCTATATGGTAGAGTGGCCAGACGGAAGCCACTCCCCAGTAAAAGGCACATGACAGCCCGCTTGGAGTTTGCCAAAATGCACCTAAAGACTCTCAGACCATGAGAAACAAGATTGTCTGGTCTGATGAAACCAAGATTGAACTCTTTGGCCTGAATGCCAAGTGTCACGTCTGGAGGAAACCTGGCACCATCCCTACCGCGAAGCATGGTGGTGGCAGCATCATGCTGTGGGGATGTTTTTCAGTGGCAGGGACTGGGAGACTAGTCAGGATCGAGGGAAAGATGAACGGAGCAAAGTACAGGGAGATCCTTGATGAAAACCTGCTCCAGAGCACTCAAGACCTCAGACTGGGGCGAAGGTTCGCCTTCCAACAGGACAACGACCCTAAGCACACAGCCAAGACAACGCAGGAGTGGCTTTGGGACAAGCCTCTGAATGTCCTTGAGTGGCCCAGCCAGAGCCCAGACATGAACCCGATCGAACATCTCTGGAGAAACCTGAAAATAGCTGTGCAGCAACACTCCCCAATCAACCTGACAGAGCTTGAGAGGATCTGCAGAGAAGAATGGGAGAAACTCCCCAAATACAGGTGTGCCAAGCTTGTAGTGTCATACCCAAGAAGAATCGATGCTGTAATCACTGCCAAAGGTGCTTCAACAAAGTACTGAGTAAAGGGTCTGAATACTTATGTAAATGTATTATTTTTATAAATTTGCAAAATATTCTAAAAACCTGTTTTTGCTTTGTCATTATGGGGTATTGTGTGTAGATTGATGAGGGGGGGAAACAATTTAATAAATTTTAGAATAAGGCTGTAACAAAATGTGGAAAAAGTCAAGGGGTCTGAATATTTTCCGAAGGCACTCTATATGAGGAATTTGGAAGTATATTTTAGCAATTACATTTACTTTTGATACTTAAGTATATTTAAAATACCAAATACTTTTAGACATTTACTCAAGTAGTATTTTACTGGGTGACTTTCATTTTACTTGAGTCATTTTCTATTAAGGTATCATTTACTTTTACTCAAGTATGATAATTGAGTACTTTTTCCACCACTGCCTGTCAGCAACGGGTGTGGCTGAAATAGCCGAATCCACTAATTTGAAGGGGTGTCCACATACTTTTGTATATATAGTGTATCTATATTATATATTCCCCAGGTCCCCTGTACGTGCTGGTGGAGTATGCGTCTAAAGGGAACCTGAGGGAGTACCTGAGAGCCCGTCGGCCCCCGGGGATGGACTACTCCTTCGACACCTGTAAGATCCCTGACGAGCAGCTCACCTTTAAAGACCTGGTGTCCTGTGCCTACCAGGTGGCACGAGGCATGGAGTACCTGGCCTCACAGAAGGTGGGTGGCATACTGGTCATGGTAGGGTTGCAAAAATCTTTACTTTCTCCAAATTCCTGGGTTTTCCAGAAATCCTGGTAGGACTATTCCAGAATTCCTGCTTATTCCATCCTGATTCCATGAATCTTCAAACCGGGATTTCTGGAAAAACTTGGAATTTTGGAAAAGTTTGTGGAATTTTGCACCCTAGTTGCATTCCATCATTGGTTACTCTGAGAGTACCTCATTTTGACATTGGCTCCGGCCTCAGGCCCTATGGTGCTAACCTTGGAAAAGTAATTCCAATTTCTTCTCCTTCCTCTATTACTGATAGGGATAGATCAAATGTGACTCATTTCAAGAAACTAGGCGTATGTCGCGCGTCACTACTTCACAGGAGTGCCATTTGAACTTAACTTTTTTGGCAGAAATGCCTTCTGGAACATGTGAACTTTCATGTGCCTTAATAACAAACTTGTATGCCATCTGTAAATACGAATAAAATGGTTAGATTACGAGCCTAGTTGGTTTAGCCATGGAAAAAGACAGCAACCTTCCCGCTAGCCATGATTGGCTGAGATATTGAGTGGGCTGGACATGCCAAGAGATGAGTTCGGATTGCACTGCCATGTAGCGCGCTTCTGTCTATAATATGAGCTGGTCAGTATGTGTTGGTAATCCTTTCTAACGTAGCTTCTTTGAAAGATATCACGTAGTAGAACTGCATAAGTGTTGCTCTCCACTTTCCTGGAAGACCAAGTTTTGAAATCAGTGGAATTAAAGTATGATAGCTAAGGAGAGGGAGAAAATTCTGGCGTTTGATTGCAAATATGCAGACGGAGTCGAAAAGAGAACACAGAAGGCTCCGGATTACATCTTCAAACTAAGGGCAACCATGGCATCCGTGACAGAGAGAGAGAAGTGTCCATCCATGTATACGGGTAAGAGAGTCTAGCTAGCTACATTTTCAGATATTACAAGTTTCTAATTTTGTCAAAGTCGTTTTCATTTCAAGTTAAAGTGTACTGTTAGCTAGCTAGCTAACGTTAGCTGGCTGACTAGCTAGCTAACATTACATGTATGATCTGTGTAGTAATATTATTTGTATCTCAGAGCCATTTGCATTGCTAGTTATAATCTAATGTTAGCTAGCTAACATTGAACCTAGTTGGTTAGCTACCTGCAGATTCATGCAGGGTAGTAACATTATGAGTTGGGATTATGGTTCATTGTTTAGCTAGCTAGCTACATGTCTAAACAAAAGACTCCAGTATGCAAGTAACTATTTCAATAGAATGTTTATGATGTCACTGCGACAACTGTCGATAGACAGAATAACTGACACATTTTTGAACGCTCAACACCCATTCTAATGTTTGATTTGATTTTAATATGGCCAGTGTCAGCAAACGTTGGCAAAAAAAGTGTAATTAAATTGTTGCCAGCAGCACAGTTGCAGTCACCAACGCTCTAGATAACGTAAAAACAGCCTAACCACCTCTGCTAGGGCAAGTAAAATGGTCAGAGTGAGCTGTTCTCTCATTTGTGTCTGGAAGTAGCTAGCAAGCTAGCCAACGTTAGCCAGTTAGCTTGGGTGCTTGACTGCTGTTGTTAGGTCAGAACGCTCAGATCAACCCTACTTTTCGGCCAGAGCGTCCAGTGTGCGCTCCAAGAGAGGAAACGCTCTGAGTTTACAAACGCCCAGAGCACACTCTGGCACTCCAGATTAAATTTACGAACACACCCCGTAGTATAAACTAGCCTTTAGTCTTGAAATCTTTGGTTGTTTAGTATATAGCCTCACGTGAATCCTTAAAGAGATGGGTGGGGCTAAGGCTGAAGAGGGTGTGAACGATGCTGAATGGGTGTAGACAAAGAAGAGCTCTCCAGTAGGTACCAAAACATTCAAGGGACATTTTCTCAAAAGTGAGGTTACAAGTTTATCAACTTTCAAAGCAGAATTACTTTCCCATTTGTTCCTCAACTGTAGTGTATGATATACCAGTTTCTAGCGCTGAGTCTCTACTTTTATCCAATGTAAAAAACACAATTTCAAATGTTGCTACATAAGACCGAATCGAGCCGCTCACAAATGGTGCAGTTCTATGCATTTTTTGGTATTTGGTATTTATTAGGATCCCCATTAGCCAAAAAATCTTCTTCTACATGAAACTTGACATAATACATACAGTGCCTTGCAAAATAATTTATCCCCCTTGGCATTTTTCCTATTTTGTTGCATTACAATTGCATGTAATGGACATACACAAAATAGTCCAAATTGGTGAAGTGAAATGTAAAAAATAACTTGTTTCAAATAATTCTAAAAAATAAATAACTGAAAAGTGGCGCGTGCATATGTATTCACCCCCTTTGCTATGAAACCCCTAAATAAGATCTGGTGCAACCAATTACCTTCAGAAGTCACATAATTAGTTAAATAAAGTCCACCTGTGTGCAATCTAAGTGTCACATGATCTATCACATGATCTCAGTATTTATACACACCTGTTCTGAAAGGACCCAGAGTCTGCAACACCCCTAAGCAAGGGGCATCACCAAGCAAGCGGCACCATGAAGACCAAGGAGCTCTCCAAACAGGTCAGGGACACATTTGTGGAGAAGTACAGATCAGGGTTGGGTTATAAAAAAATACTCGAAACTTTGAACATCCCACGGAGCACCATTAAATCCATTATTAAAAGATGGAAAGAATATGGCACCACAACAAACCTGTCAAGAGAGGGCCGCCCACCAAAACTCACGGACCAGGCAAGGAGGGCATTAATCAGAGAGGCAACAAAGAAACCAAAGATAACCCTGAAGGAGCTGCAAAGCTCCACAGCGGAGATTGGAGTATCTATCCATAGGACCACTTTAAGCCGTACATTCCACAGAGCTGGACTTTACGGAAGAGTGGCCAGAAAAAAGCCATTGCTTAAAGAAAAAAATAAGCAAACATGTTTGGTGTTCGCCAAAAGGCATGTGGGAGACTCCCCAAACATATGGAAGAAGGTACTCTGGTCAGATGAGACTAAAATTGAGCTTTTTGGCCATCAAGGAAAACGCTATGTCTGGCGCAAACCCAACACCTCTCATCACCCCGAGAACACCATCCCCACAGTGAAGCATGGTGGTGGCAGCATCATGCTGTGGGGATGTTTTTCATCGGCAGGGACTGGGAAACTGGTCAGAATTGAAGGAATGATGGATGGCACCTTAACAGCTTCTAAGACTGCTGAGCAATTAATCAAATGGCCTATTTACATTGACCCCCCCCCCCCCCCCCCCTCTTTGTTTTTACACTGCTGCTACTCGCTGTTTATTATCTATGCATAGTCACTTTACAAATTACCTCGACTAACCTGTACCCCCGCACATTGACTTGGTACAGGTGCCCCTTGTATATAGCCTCGTTATTGTTATGTAATTTTCTAGGGTTACTTTTTGATTGATTTTTTTTTTTTTTACTTTCTTGAACTGCATTGTTGGTTAAGGGCTTGTAAGTAAGCATTTCACGGTAAGGTCTACACCTGTTGTATTCGGCGCATGTGGCAAATACAATTTGATTCGATTTTCTAGTTACCCATTCTAAAACTGACTGGAGCTCTATACATTACATACATTTTCGTCATTTAGCAGACGCTCTTATCCAGAGCGACTTACAAATTGGTGCATTCAACTTATGATAGCCAGTGGGACATCCACTTTACAATATATATATATATATATCTTTTTTTTTTGGGGGGGGGGGGGGTTGGGGTAAGGGGGGGGGGTAGAAGGATGACTTTATCCTATCCCAGGTATTCCTTAAAGAGGTGGGGTTTCAAGTGTCTCCGGAAGGTGGTGAGTGACTCCGCTGTCCTGGCGTCGTGAGGGAGCTTGTTCCACCATTGGGGTGCCAGAGCAGCGAACAGTTTTGACTGGGCTGAGCGGGAACTGTGCTTCCGCAGAGGTAGGGGGGCCAGCAGGCCAGAGGTGGATGACCGCAATGCCCTCGTTTGGGTGTAGGGTCTGATCAGAGCCTGAAGGTACGGAGGTGCCGTTCCCCTCACAGCTCCGTAGGCAAGCACCATGGTCTTGTAGCAGATGCTAGCTTCAACTGGAAGCCAGTGGAGTGTGCGGAGGAGCGGGGTGACGTGAGAGAACTTGGGAAGGTTGAACACCAGACGGGCTGCGGCGTTCTGGATGAGTTGTAGGGGTTTAATGGCACAGGCAGGGAGCTCAGCCAACAGCGAGTTGCAGTAATCCAGACGGGAGATGACAAGTGCCTGGATTAGGACCTGTGCCGCTTCCTGTGTAAGGCAGGGTCGTACTCTGCGAATGTTGTAGAGTATGAACCTACAGGATCGGGTCACCGCCTTGATGTTAGCGGATAATAACAGGGTGTTGTCCAGGGTCACGCTAAGGCTCTTTGCAGCAAGGTAGTAGGTTGAAGAAGACACACCAATTCCTCTTTCCATCAGAGCGATGTAATTGTCCATTTTCTTTAAAGAAACGGTGGTAGCAGCCAAGTGGTCATGAAGGCTTCCAGAGCAGCAATTGGTCTTAAATCACTAATTGGTTCAAGAAACATTTAGACTCCCGAGTGGAGCTGTGGTCTAAGGCTGTGCCACTAGAGATCCTGGTTCGAATCCACCCATGGGGTGGTGTACAATTGGCCCAGCGTCGTCCAGGGTAGGGGAGGGAATGGCCGGCAGGGTTGTGGGTTCGATTCCCATGGGGGTCCGGTATGAAAAATAAAAAAATAATGTATGCACTAACTGTAAGTCGCTCTGGATAAGAGCGTCTACTAAAATGTAATGTAATGTAAATGTAGACTGCAAACTGATATGGACATTTCAGCTTTTGAAATACTACTACTTAAATATTTGCAGGCCATACTTGACAGAGCAAAAACCGTTTTTTTTAGAGATTTATCACATTTATTCAGACCCTTTACTCAGTACTTTGTTGAAGCACCTTTGGCAGCGATTACAGCCTTGAGTTTTCTTGGGTATGACGCTACAAGCTTAGCACACCTGTATTTGGGGAGTTTCTCCCATTCTTCTCTGCAGATCCTCTCAAGCTCTGTCAGGTTGGATGGGGAGCGTCGCTGCACAGCTATTTTCAGGTCTCTCCAGAGTTGTTAGATCGGGTTTAAGTCTGGGCTCTGGCTGGGCCACTCAAGGACATTCAGAGACTTGTCCCGAAACCACTCCTGCATTGTCTTGGCTGTGTGCTTAGAGTCGTTGTCCTGTTGGAAGGTGAACCTTCGCCCCAGTCTGATGTCCTGAGCGCTCTGGAGCAGGTTTTCAACAAGGATCTCTCTTTACTTTGCTCTGTTCATCTTTCCCTTGATCCTGACTAGTCTCCCAGTCCCTGCCGCTGAAAAACATCCCCACAGCAGGATGCTGCTGCCGCCACCATGCTTCACCGTAAGGATGGTGCCAGGTTTCCTCCAGACGTGGCGCTTGGCGTTCAGGCCAAAAGTTCAATCTTGGTTTCATCAGACCAGAGAATCTTGTTTCTTATGGTCTGAGAGTCCTTTAGGTGCCTTTTGGCAAACTCCAATTGGGCTGTCATCTGCCTTTTACTGAGGAGTGGCTTCCATCTGGCCACTTTACCATAAAGACCTGATTGGTGGAGTGCTATAGAGATGGTTGTCCTTCTGGAAGGTTCGTCCATCCCCACATAGGAACTCTGGAGCTCTGTCAGAGTGACCATTGGGTTCTTGGTCACCTCCTTGGCCAAGGCCCTTCTCCCCCTGATTGCTCAGTTTGGTGG